CAACCAACAAACCAAGTCGAGTTTCAATAATTTGAGTGCTTAATGAAATTAAAATGAAATGATATTAGGCTCGTAGAATTCATCTCTTCGATCCATTAGTTTTGAGTATAAGCACGTAATTTTTTTAGATCGTTTGGGAAGTTATAATTAACTAATTTTAGGCTCATTGAATACGAATACGTATCGTTGATACGCATAATTTTACTATAACCACACAAAAATTGGAGACCATTCATCCTTCAATATATGCAAAAAAAATTTAATAATATTTCGAGTCTTTGGTTTGTGCTTATATGGAATTAGATCAAATCACTTGATCAGTTGTTGATGGATTTGTTTCGCCAAGACATTCAGACGATTATAAGCCTATTGAAATTGGAGTTGGCGTGGTCTTGAACTTAATTTTAAAAAATTTCAATTCAAATTTTGTTCTCATATTTATGTCAATCAAATAAAATTTTGGGAAAAAAAAGGATCACTGATAATTTTAAAATAAATTGGATAATTTTAACAAAACCAATTATAATTTGATAAATATATTTCAGAACCCAAATTGCTTATATTTTATCAGTCACCCACCTTGAATTCTACTAACTACTGCTTGCTACTTTCTCACTTCTTCATAAAAAAAATTTTAATAGAAAATAATTTTTTCAGACAATGACCAAAATTTTGATTGATCACTATTTTCTCGTTGTTTTCTATAAATTTCTGTGATAGATAACTATAGCGACGAAATTGTTTCTGTTACAATAAATTCACAATTAACTTTATAAAATACTATAGTTGTCCCAAACAGATCTTTAATCTATTTTTAACTATAGATTTTTGTTTTATTATAAATAAGTTCTTTAATTAGCATTAGCAGAATATGAACCCTATCATTCTCAATTTCCCTTTGCTTCTCCTATGACAACAATTCATACAACAATGCACCCCATCAAAGTTATTTTTTCTCAATTGTTATTGTAGAATATTTCGCATCAAAATAATTTCTAAAATATTAAAAATAAATTATAATTGTTTATAAGCATTAGCAGAATAAATTGCTAACAAACGACCATCTTTGCTAATGTGAACCCTATCATTCTCAATTTCCCTTTGCTTCTCCTATGACAACAATTCATACAACAATGCACCCCATCAAAGTTATTTTTTCTCAATTGTTATTGTAGAATATTTCGCATCAAAATAATTTCTAAAATATTAAAAATAAATTATAATTGTTTATAATTGTTGAAGGCTCGAGTATTCATGATAGTAAAGTACAAAAAACCTTACGTCTTAGCATTAGATGAGTATCCATCATACAAACATAGCAAAAAGAAACATCAATTTTTTTTACGTGGAAAACTATGAAGAGAAAAATCATAGGGTCACGCCCAGTTGAAATGATTTCACTAGTGTTTAAATAAATTATAAGTGACTTATCCATCATTGAAATTGAGCACAATCAGATTACAATAGCCAACCGTTGGGTTGAAATCTAGCGATGAATGGAGATCGAATGAAAATCAGGCGATGTTCGATGGTCGAGCAGAAATCCGGCATCAGTTTGTGGCTAGGAGGAAGTCTGACACCAACTGGTGGTCAGGTGAAAATCCGACGTCAGTCGGTGGTCGGGCAGAAGTTCTTCGTTAGTTGATGGCCTGGCCGGGAGGAATTCCGGCATTAGTCGGTGGCCGAGAAAAAGCCTGACGTTATTCCTGCAATGGTTAGTGGTTTGAGGGTGGTCGATGAGGAGTTTAGTGGCAAGAGAACTCTAGTTTCTCTATCTTTCTTCTCTTCGTTGCTTGGGCTCCCTTTATATGAGAAATGAGTAGTACATTTATAGTTTTCTAAGAGTAGCATGACCAGCAAATAGGTGAGAGACCAAGGGTAAGTTAGGAGTGATTTGAATGGATGACCGATATTGATCCCTTTGATCGCAGACTATTTACTAGGCATTTGAATGTCATAATTTTTTTTATTTTTTTAACCTAGAAATGCTTCCATATTATTCAAGAAAAGGATACAAGTTCAAAACAACCATAGGGCTCGCTAATGCTCCCAAGAGCAGCAATACATGAGAAGAGAGAATCCTAATGAGCCAAAAAATCAAGTCACACAACAAAGTGTAAGTCAAAATACAAACGAAACATATGAAACAATTTGGACTCAGGAGGCAACGCATACCCATCCCAAGCTAAGCAGGGGCCCTCCATTAGAGGCAGCAAACCAAGAGCACGAAACCACAATTCTCAAACTGTAAAAAGACCACTAAGGTTGCCAACAAGCAAGGCCCATGAGATAGTAAGTACAATGAAGCCTTATCATCATTGTCCGAAACAAACCAGCAGCCATCAGAAAAAACATCAGCAAAGCAAACCGCAAGCAATAGAAAAGAACACAGTTGGAAAGAAGAAGAGACGACAGCAAAACTAAATCGAGATGGACAATTCATTTCTTCTTAGATTTACGTTTGTTCCGCTTACTTTTTTTAATAGGAATACCAATATCAACAATTTGAAGAATAATCACATCAAAATCAGAGGCTTCCTCATCAAACCCCTCCCCAACAATTGAAGAAAGATCATCATTCAACCAATCATCATGCATGACCTCAAAATTCCTCGCATAACAAGTTAGATGAGCTCGCAAATAATCATTAGAGAGAACATAAGTGGGAACATCAACCATTCCCGATTTTCCCCCCATATCATCGCCTTTAAGAACAAAAACACTAGCACCCTCACAATAATTAGGAGTCAAAATCCCACCCGCAGAAGGATCACATTCACTGTCTCTATGGTTCAGAGGAATATAATCATCAGAATACTCAGTTTCACAATTACTAGTATCAACATTAGAATTTGGGGATACAATAGGACTAGTTACCAAATTAAGTAAGCAAGGGTTAGCGCAGGCAGGTGCAAACGACACATCAATAGACAAAGGAACCTCAATTCCATTAATATCTTGGATATGGGGATCAAGCACAACAACCGGCGCAACCAAAGCATCAACAAGAGCATCAAAACCCTCCATACCAACTACAACACTGATAACCAAGGGGTTTTGCGGCATGTTAAAAACCCCCTCATTACCCAGGTTATTGAACTTCACAATATTAGGAACTATTAACTCCACACCAGCATTTGAATGTCTTAATGATATCTGAATTTCGTAATACTAGGGCTCGTCATATTTTTCACGTCAAGCCACTCAATTCGACTATAAGCATGTCACGTTTGTAAATCATTTGATTATTCAATTTAAGGTTTGAACTTTCCAAATGACCTTTGGGTCTTCGATTTGGACCCAGTTGGGTTCAGATTGAGTCGAATTTGGTGTCGTTGGGTTCATATTTTCGAGACGTTTAGTTCGACTATAAGTTTGTTGAAATCGGAGTTCGGATGGTCTTACATTTAATTTCGGAAGTTTCTAATTTGATTTTGTATCGAGATTCATGCCTAATTAATATAATTTTTTTGATGATATATCATTAATATTTAAGAAAACTTTTTATATTTTTCTAAAAAATTGTAAATAAAGTCATATGTTATGTTATTCAAACATTTCTTAATATTGAAAAATAAAAAATAAAGTATAATATCAAAATAAACATAATTTAATAAAAGCTTAATCTTGATTCATTTATCTCCCTAATCAACCCTCATCACCAATCCGGTTAATTAACCTGCCACCTGATTAGATTTAAGGAATAATTCAACCTTCAAAATGATGACTCGTACATGACACGAATGATCCGACCTTTGATTTGGTATTTAATGATTAACAACGTAATTATGATTGCTAATCCAACATATACGTTTAATTAACATATCATTGCGGACCCCACTGACTTTTAATACCCAAAAATTGAAAATAATTTTTTTTTATTGCCATAAATTATTCTCTTATAACAATAAACATCAAACTACTTTGTATACGGATACATGAAATAAAACAAAAATGCTATTTACATCCAGTTTTTATCATAAATTTTTAAAGAAAAAACAAAATTTTTTTTTAATATAATATAATCATTTAGAGAGTTGAGATTGACTTAGAAATAGTAAAGTGGTTGAATTAGTGATTGGTCTAAAATTTTCAAGATTATTGGGTGAATTAAGAGTCATTATCATCATTATTAATAACAGTAACAACAAGTTTTTATCCCATTATGTGAGATCAGCTGCTTTAATACTTTTGCTCCATGACGACTTATTAAAAATCAAATTATCGTTTAAATCTAATAAACAAGGCTATTTATAATAATTTATAACATTTTTTTTAAGTCTACTTTTACCTATCTTAATGTAGATTAGATTATAAAAAATCTAATCTCGTAATCAAGTCATCGGAAGGAGAAATTATTTTGCATGGAGTCCATACGAGAAGAACCGTCCAAACATATGAGTGCACACACTGTGTACAAATTTCTACGCAGTGTGTATCAACTTTTTATACACAATGCCTGTACATAGTGTCTACACTTACAGTCCGGACGATTCTTCTCGCTCGGATTTCGCACAAAATAATTTCTCCATCTGAAAACTGATATTTTATACGACCAAATCTTCTAAGATGACTCACTCTAACCTTGTATGCCATTAGAACTACTCCAATCTTTACGTGCATATACTAATTTTGCATTCTATCTCTAATAGAAAAATGTTTATCATCAATTGAAAAAAATTATATCAACATATTTTAATATATTTTTATATCAACATGAAACTATAATTTAAATTTTGAAAGTAAATATTCAAATTATAAGATATTTACATAAAAATAAAAATAATGTACACAAGAGATCAGGTTTCTTAACTGTTTATACTTTCATTTGAATTAACAAATTATTTATTTAAAAATTTAGTATTTTCGAATTTACATGAAAATGTATAAAACTTTGCTTGAGATATTTTAACCAATTTTCTTATGAGATTATTTAAACAATTTTGAATTTATTTTAACATAAGTATAAGCAATGAAGGAAAATTAAAAAAAATATTATATTTATAGCAAAATAAATTATTATTATTATTTTTAATTTGATCAGGATTTTTTAAATATTCTTCTTACATTACAGGGGTACTATTGTCATTTCACACGCATTAGGTAACGATTTCCATTGAAAAATCCTCAGCACTAAAATCATCCAAGTCGACTTCCCAGTACTGCCGCTTCGGCATGCAAAACTCCGTTAAATATAACGGCGGACCCACGCTAACGCCGAACACGTCGACGTCGCCGTAACAGAAAGAATCAAACGGCGTCTGCTCGACCGCGCAGGGAAGCACGGAGGTCGGAGATGAAAAGGGGCAGGAGGGTTCGTGGACGATCTTCTCCGGCTCCGCCTCACAATCAATTAACGCCGGCGAAGGTACCTTCCAAAGCGGAAAGTTCGTGACGGCTCTTTCTCCCTTGATCATGACGGCGGCGGAGTCGTAAACGGCGGCCGCCTCTTCCGCCGTATCAAACGTCCCGAGCCAAATCCTTCTCCTTCGATTCGGATCTCGGATCTCCGCCGCCCATTTACCCCATGGCCGCCGGCGAACTCCACGGAATCTCTTTGAATAGTTGGTTTCCGGTGAAGCAGCACCCGTTGTGGTATTTGCCCGCGGCGATACTGAACCCACCTGGAAACCGATTTCGTATACTTGCCTCTTTACTCGCCGTGGAGCAGGGTTTACAACTTCCTCGTCGCTGGAAGACGAATCGGTCGCGTCGGCGTCGGTGAAGAAGATCCGAACAACTCTGCGATCAATTCTCTTTGGTTTTCCGGCGACCATCGTCTTCTTCTTAATTGTTGAAAAATACTCGGAGTACTTTACCGGAAGGCCGGAAAAGTCGAGGCGATGGCTTGGGCGTGAGATCTCCATGGATCCGACGCGCCAAGCCTAATTAAGATCGACGATTACAGAGCGATTCGAGGTTTCATGAAAGTTGATTTGGGTTTCTCCTTCTGCTTTGGGGCTGAAGAGAGAAGAAGAAGCGAAGTGGCAGGATTTAGAGCTAGGGTTTTATGTGAGTATTGGGGGTTTTAGAGGTCGGAGGATGAAGACGGGAAGGTTAAAGGTAGATGAAGGAAACGAAGGAAGCAGAGGGATTAGTGAGACTGAAGCGAGTATATATTTATATATATATGCCGGCAAGAGTTCATGATTCGTTAATCCATAGATATGCTCCATTTGAGTTTTTTTTTTTTTTAATGTGATTATTTTTTTTTCATATTAAATAAGGTGCAACGAAACATTTAAAGGGATAAAGACTTAGGATTAGGTTTCATTTGGGACGACTTTCTTACTGTTTCTTAAAGCAATTTTTTAGTTCAAAAGTTTTAATTTTTGAATTAGAAAGTTGTTTTAAGAAGCATTAAGAAAGTCGTCCCAAACAAAGTCTTAGTTTGGTATGATTTTTTTATTGCTTCTCAAAGTAGCTTTCTACTGCAAAAATTAAAAATTTTATACTAAAAATCTGCTTTGAGAAGCAATAAGAAAGTTGTTCTAAACGAAACCTTAGACTTCATTTAAGAAACGTTTTTTAAATTTAAGACTCTAACTATAATTTCTGTTTGGCTAAGTATTTATGAGCTAGGAAGCTATTTTCTTATAACAACTTTTAAAAAATTATTTTTCTCATAACAACTTTATAATCACTTTTATAAAAAGTTGCAATTGCCCCAAGCATATCTTTAGGTTTCGTTTAAGACAAATTTTTATTGTTTTATTTTTCATATTACAATCCCAATTTCAATTTGATCATTATCTTTTTATTGCTTTTAAAAAATTAATCTATGCAAGAAAGCTATTTTTTGAAACAGCTTTTATAAATATTATTTTCAACACAATAGCGATGTATCTATTTTTATAAAAAACTATAGTCATCCAAAACAGACTTTCAATATTATTGTTATCGTTAATCTATTGATTAAATAACATAATTTTGATGATTTTAAAAAAATTATAATAATAAATTTGAAGTAATTATGCTAATAAATTTAATTTATAATGAATTTTAAAATTCTTAAATTTACTTATGAATTATATCTATTTAATTTAAGAGATAAAGATCAAAATGGTTCAATGGTTTTTTATGAAGGATCTAAATGTTTAATTATCTAAAAGTTTCAATTTAATCTCTTTACTTTCTAAATTGCTATTTAACTAATCTGAAATGACTAATTTAATCCCTATACAATGGATTATGTCAATTTTTTTTATAATAAAGAACTATTTTGATACTTCAGAAAAAATAAATTAACATTTTTAAAATTTATTGTCAGCTCTTTTACCAAAAAGCCCTTCCTTTTTCCCGCCAGCTGTCTAACACAAGTCGTGGAGTGTGATTCACTCTTTCATTTCCACCATATACATAAACAAAGCAGCACGAATCTTGAAGCATATGTGGTTAACATCGTAATAATTTCATCTAGTTAGATCCGCCGTCCAATTAGCAGTAACTAAATTGTGCGGCCATGACTCGAGCGCTTAAGTATTTGAAAGTTGCGGCGGGCCCCACGGTGAACGTGTCACAGTACAGCCGCCACTGTGGGCCCCATGGACCCACGTGGGTCCAGGCATTTGCCGAGCCCGCCATGGGCTTCGGCTTTAGTTAGCGCAATTAGTCAAGCACTACGGGGAATATTAAAAATCCCCTACGTGGATAATATAATCAAATTAGAGAGACCTATTTAAAACACACCAACCTGCACCCACCCGTTGAAAGTGGGCCCTAGCATTACGATACTGCGGGTGATGGTCAGGTGACGATGACGTAATAATTGGTTTTTTTGGGTCCCACAAACGTCCGACCACGCCACATGGACAAGTTTCCGAGTCCACGTGGATTTATTTATTCTGTTCTTTCGGGTATTATTTGTGAGAAAAAATCCGCACAAATTGGGATAAAGGCCTGATTATATTGTTATTGGTTCGGATTTTAAAGTTCTTATTAGACATTTGTAAGAGGGGATTGTGATTTTGGATGATCAAATCGTTAATAAGAGTTGTTGCGGGCTAGAATATTCACGGCGGTAGAGTGAATAAATTTTTTACCTTGGCGATGCTCGGATATCTAGCATACAAATAGAGACAGAAGTAAAACACCCGTTTTTTTTTACGTGGAAAGCCCAAAGAGGACAAAAAACACGGGCCTTGCTTAGGTGAAAAGATTTCACTAGATTTAAGTGAATTACAAAACTTGATCCATCCCTTGACTTAGAGGTAGTCAAATTACAATAGTTTGTAGAGTTAGGTAAAGGTCTGGAGATAACCAAGCAAAAGTTTGACGATGACAGGGCAGAAGTTCAGCTGATGGGGAATGATCAAATGAAGGTCGGGAGGAAGTCCGATGACGTTTGGTTGCCGGGTGGAAGTCCAGAGGCATTCAGCAGTCCGACAAAGGTCGGGCTTAAGTCCAGCGATGTTCGTCGACTAGGTGGTGGTCCGACGAAGATCTGGCTGAAGTCCGGCGATGGTCCGTTGCAAGGCGATAGTCATATTTGAAATATATGAAATTTTAAATGTTTAAATATGCACTATTTTAAAATATTTATTTTATCTACTTTTTTTTTGTAGATTTTCTTTGTTAATATTAAAATATATCATAATATTCTTAATAATTCCATATATTAAAAATTAATTTAATTAATTTTATAGAATATTTTTTTTAATTTAAATATTAAGATAGATATAGCTTCTTATAGCCCTTTTTTTTCTTTTCTCATATAATTTTCTTATATTTAGTAAATAGATAAATAGTATAAAGATATATAAGCATGTTGTTTGATATAAGATAAATAAAAGAAACTATTTTGATTAACTTTGAGAAATATATAAGGTATAAATATATTTATAGTGTTAAAATAAATTATTTATTATATAACTGATTTTTCATATATATTTTACATGAATTATATAATAGAATATATTAAAAATTTCAATAATAATACAATTAAAGAAGAATTCCCAAACAAAACCTTAGATTTCAATAAGTGTTAGGGATGTAATTACTGTTTATTCTTACAATATAATATTATTATTTATTATAATTCTTTAATAATATATTAATTGCTACTTATAGCTCCAATCTATAATTTTAAATCCATTTACTTAGGAGTACAAAAAAATGTCCAAATTTCTATTTTCTTAACACTTTAAAAACAAAACTTGAAATTAATAGAATCAACAAAAAATAATTAAATCCATTTTCTAACATTAAATTGATATATTAAATTAACAATATTATTTCCATAAAATTTGTGGATATATTTTAGATAAAATGATAATTATAATATCTTGAATTACAACCATTAATCACTCCAAAAAATATAACTGATTCCACTACATCTACTGAAATAAAATAATATTTATCATCATAATAATACTTCGAATCGAAATTATATTAACATTATTGATTCTAAAATAAAGCTACCAAACACATCAATGATTGTACCCTATCACTTAATGTATATACACAAACAAACAAGAAAGTGAATAAATAGGTTGAAATTCCCTATCACCAATGGCACAAAGAATAATAAATTTGGCTTTAAAACTTGTGGGTAGCATTGCAATAGGCCTTCATATGCTCAATACCTTTCTTTCTTTTTTGGAAAGGAATTTAAAACTCCTAAATTTGGGGGATTAGTTAGTATAGGAAAGCTTATTGGAATATAAATGGCATTTATTCTTATTAAGAAAATTATAATATTTAATATATTTGGAATTATTAAGAACTAATCACTTTCTTAACCATTATAAATATGTGATTGTGAAAAGTCAAATTTGATTAAAAAAACATTGAGATAATATTTGATCTAAATTTCATCAAAAATAGATTTTCAAATATGATACAATGTTTTTTAAAAATTTGCAAAAAATATTAAGAAAATTACATATGTGAATTAGGATTAGGATATTAATTATTTCTCATAATTGAGCTATTTAGATCACTAAAGTCATTAGACCCACTAATTATTTTCTTAAAAAGGCATCGAGGAACTTCTAATGTAATCATTCTATTTTAATGCCCATCGTTTTCATATAGTTGAAGATTTTATGGAAGAAAGTATTATTTTCTATGAAGTGACTAAGGAAATTGAAGGGGCTTTGTATGTAATTTATCACAATCCTAATACAACAAGCTTGATAGCTAGGGACCAAATTACAAATAAATAATGCCGCTATTTTTTCCTTTTTTTATATTATTTTTTCCCATTAGAAATTTAATATGAGAAAGAATACATCAGTAGCTTAAAGCTTGGAGCCCAAGAAACATTTATTAGTCACATAGATGATTCAAATGTTGACTTCGGCCCTACATAACTTGTTTCCAAAGGAATTGCTTTAAAAAAATTTTGTATGAGATAATCATATTTGAATAATTCTAGAACCAAAGACATAGTCTTTCTTTGTGATATTTTAATTATTTCGCTGTTGCGATGAAAATGAATTTACATCACGAATTAGAAACCAAATATTTTGAGAAGCTGAGTGAGTTGTTTGAGGAGAATCAGTCAACATAGATCATCAAGAATTTAACTGGTTTATGGGACGTAATTGACTAAATACTTGTTCAAAAATGAAATCATATTTATCTACGAGCAACGTACCTTATAAAAAATAAATGATGTGAATTTACTTTTTTTTTTTTTGGATAAAACTCATATATGAGGCCTACATGTTAATATGAAAAAGGAATTACAAGTCCTTAGCGAATCAACAGGGGCGGATCCTCATTGAGTTGAGGGGAGGCCCCCCCTCAAAAATTTTTTTTTTTAATTTTAGAGGGATATTTTGGAATATTTTGAGTATTTTGGGTATTTTGCCCCCTCTCAAAAAATTTTTTTGCCCTCATTTAATCAATCCTAAGGGCATCTCCAACCGAAAAACTCATTTTTCACTCCAAAATACAGTAATACACCAAAATGCAGTAACTTGTCTCCAACCGAACTCCATTTTCTAACACAAAAAAGAATATTCCTAGTATATTCTTCTTCATATTTCATTTTACATCTTTTTAATCATTAAAAAAAAAAAAAAGCAAATGGCGGGTGAACAGTGCGACGCCAAATATGGCGTCGCACTGTTCACTGGCGACCTTATGCCGCAGAAAATAGCGCTCCGTTGGAGCGACATTGAGAGCGGCAAACACTCGTTTGCGTATCCATTGGAGATGCCCTAAGCATCTTTGCCCATCCCCCACAAAAATTTTTTTTTGCCCACCCTGAAAAAAGAAGCTGGATCCGCCCCTGCGAATCAATAACCTTCTAAAAATATAACATTTAAAGTAAAATCTACGAGCCTTTTATTCTATCTATTACAAATTAAACTAGTAGAAAAGAAATACAAAAAAGAAAAACAAAGCCAACGAGAGAAAAAATGCCATAGAAGAAGATGAAATAACATTATGAGTCAAACGATAGCAGCCGCCCAAGTAAGGCTCCCAAACAATTAGCACCAATCCAATGAGGATCAACCACAATAACATGATAGAAGCCTGCAAAGGACACAACAAACCACAATAGGAAAAGAAAAAGAAACCTGAGGTGCCAAAGGATCAAACAACCACATTACAACGAAGGAAGAAGATATAAAAGGAAGACGTCACCACATAGAAACAACCCAAAACCCAACATGCACTCAGATAACAAACAAACACCAAATGACATAAATCCAAAAACCACCATCCGAATAAAAAAGGACAACCAACAACCAAAATCACCACCAATACAATGAACAAAATAAAAAGATCTAACAACATCAGAGAAGAACCAAACTATTTCCTTTTTTGCTTCCTCCTACGACATTTGCCATCACCAAAAGCAAAAGCTTTTTTCACTAACGTGGTTAACCTTCAAATCATATCTAGCTTGAATAATGTCTTTAAGCTAATCAAAGTCATCCCCATCACCCCCACAAGGTTAGTAACCAACTAATCATAATCATCAAGCCAATCGTTTTGCTCCAAACAATTATTTTTCAAATTACCTGCCTATTAATCTTTCCAAAGCCTCATTAGAAATGAGTGAAATTGGGACTTCTCTAACCGGTTCCAACAGCGTCACAGGAGAGTCAGAATAAGCCTCAATAATATATAGTCATAGGAAATGCACAGGTTCATGTTTTGCACTTTTTTGTATATATATATACATATGAATTTATTTTTTTCCCTCTTTTTTTTCTCTCTCTCTCTCTCTTTCTCTTATATCTTGTTTTTTCATACTATAATCTCTCAAAAATCTTCTAAGTCCACATATTATTCATGGATAAATTCGAATCAAACATTATTATTACTATTATTAAAAAATAATAATAGTGTCTATTTGAATAAAAATAATATATATTTTTTACATTCTTTTCTCCTATTATAATCCCTCAAAAGTCTCGTGACTTCAAATCTCCAATTAATGTTTTGGAGCTTCTAATTAAATATGCTCTAATCCTTTTACTTTTGAGCCAATTTGAGCTCAAATTAGACATATTTTTATGTCATTAGGTTCATCTCATTGAGACATTCATTTCAACCATAAATTTGTTAAAATTAGAGTTTGGATGATCCCGTATTTAATTTTGTAAGTTATCAATTTAAATATGCCTCAAGATTCGCACTTGTTCAAGATAGGGGTGTCAATATTTGACCCGATCCGAATCCGACCCGAAAATTTCGGGTTCGGGTTTAACATTTAGACCCGTTTCAAAAATCGGGTCGGGTTCGGGTTAACCCTTTGACCTGAAATTGACTCGATTTTGACCCAAAAACCCGATTTTAACCCGCCAACTTGAGATTGACCCGATTTTGACCCGTTTTTGACCCGAAAAACAGGAAATAGATCCATTTTTGACCCGAAAAAGAGGAGAAAGACCTGATTTTGACCCCAAAAATAGTCATTTTTCATTGGAAACGGGTCATTTGGGTCGCGTCGGGTTGACCTGGACCCGAAGCGGGTCGGGTTCGGGTCAGGAAAACTGACCCGTTTTCAAAAACGGGTCGGGTTCAGGTTGACCCGAATAGTGCCGGATCAGTTTCGGGTTCGACCCGAACCCGACCCGTAACCCGAAATTGACACCCCTAGTTCAAGATGATTTTTTGTGATATATCAATACTCATAGTTATTATTTCAAAATTTCTCATGAAATCTTGTTAAAATGGCAGAATTTTGTTTTTGTTTTTTCTGAACATAATCCTACATCAATATTCCATGCATTTATTTCTCTTTATGCTTGTAATGTAGAGAAAATATAAAGTCTAGTTCGAATGCCAGCCTAATTTTAAATCAAAATTTAGAATTTTCCTTCAAGAACAAAACAAACTGAAAAATATTGATTTCAATATAATTTTTAAATTACCTTTTCCTAAAACTATGATTAATTTTAAATATTTAAATAATTTCACATAGATATTTATTTACAATGCTTACAAAAACATGTAAAAAATATTATAAAATTCAACAATACATATTTGTTGCACAAACAACTAAAATAATAATAATAATAAAAAATAACATAATATTTTGACGCAAAACTCATCAGAATTATTTGTTTTTTCTCTTAAATTAACCTTAAAAAAAGTGATTAAAATTAATTTAGTTTTATATCTTCATCATCATCATTTTTATTTTAGAAAACTTGCTTTAAAAAGAATTATATTTATTATATTTTATTATTTATAAAAGTGATTAAAGACAAAAAATAATTTTAACAATATAGTTTTTCAATTATGTAAAATTAAAAATTCTTTTCAAATGAGTTAAAATTAAAACTTAAAAATTTTCAAACATCATTTTTTTTCCACTAGAAACCAAATAATTTAGAAATAAAAAGTATATCAGAAATTAATTTAAATTGCATTATAATTAATTAAAAATAATTAAATTTATCTTAAAATTAGTATGTGTAAGAAATTATATTACTTTAATTATAAAAAAAGCTAATAATTTAGATAAAATTTATATAAAAATATCATACACAAATTTTCTTCTTAAAATAGAAATTTAATACAAAATAAGCCCCTTAGTGGCGTTCCGCACGACTTTTCGAGCAAATCCAAAGGCTATATAAACCACTTTCAGAATCTTATAGTAAAATCGTACTGTTGACCGCGCATCTTTGCCCCAGGATTGTGTACGCAGTCCGAACGCAGGGATAGGTTCGGATGCTGCGTATTTACTGCTTATTTGTTGCGTATTTTTTATGTATTTAATTTTTTCTACGTATTTTTTGCGTATTTATTATGTATTTAGTGAGTATTTAGTGAGTATTATTTATTTGTTATTTTTTGGCACAAAAAAATTTTATATAAAAAAATACGCAACAAATAAACAGTAAATAAACAGCATCCTAACGCGTTCGGATTAAGTACACAATAATTTCTCTTGCCCCAGAGGGCCTTAGACGACAGACGCAGAGGTATTCTCGCTAATTTCCGAAGCAATTCCGATGGGGAGGTTTCAGTGGTTGGAGGCTGCTCTGCCTTTGGGAATCATCGCCGGTTTGCTCTGCGTGATGGGAAACTCGCAGTATCAGATCCACAAAGCTTATTATGGCCGAGTAATTTCGAGATTCTTTCTAAACGAAGCTCATTTTGAGGATCCGTTTTCTTCCGATTCGTGTCGTTGGTCTTTCATTTTGTGATAATGATTGTTACCTCTTGTTTTGTTTTTTGGGTTTCTTCAGCCAAAGCACATTGGAAATGATGTGTGGGATGTAGCCATGGAGAGGAGGGACAAGAAGCTTTTGGAGGAGGCTGCTGCGGCGGGGAATTAGGTTTGTTTCTGAATCGCGGTTTTCTATACTCCTGATTTGCTTTCTGATGATTTAATTAGAGGGCTCATCAGTGGCGCAATTAGGATTTTGTCTTTGAATTAGGGTTTGATGGTACTTGCGTTTACTATATATATATATATATATATATATATATATATATATATTTCTTCGTTTCTTTTTTTTTTTTTGTTATATATATATATATATATATATATTTCTTGGCTTCTTCGTTTTTTTATGACAAGCTTTCTGTGGAGATTGCCCACTTTATCTTTAAATGTAACCGTGTAACTTAGTTTTGTTTAATTTTTTTTTAATGGGAAAATTAGGGGCAGAGCCTGATATCATTGACTATGAAAAATAATTACATGAAGAAAATTACTATAAAAATTACAACTCGATACCAAGTTATCCAAAGAAAATTGAGTTGAAAACAAAAATGTGCATGACTCAAAAAGAGAGCGGAAGAAAAAGAAGCAAAATCTTTCAAAACAGGAACTCAAAATGAACAAAATTTCACCTAAACATCATATAACATTTCATCAATAACAATTCAAAACCATTCTTTGATTGCCTGTGGACCGTTCAAGGAGATGAAGGACCATATGGGCACATTGACATTCATCATAGTCCTGCAAAAAAATAGACACCCAAAGTATGAAGGGCAGCAAAACGATTTATGAAGTTAATTGAATCCATAGCCAAACAGCAAAGCAATAAAATATATTCACCATCTGAACGCACCCCAAAAACAACGGAAGCCAAAAAAGCAGCAGCTCCAAATAGATGAAAGAAACCACCATCAAAGCAACACTAGAAAAAGTAGCATCTTTGAAAAGAACTACAGAACATTGCCTGACAAGAACATCAATCAACCCAAGCAAAAGAAACAAAATATGCAGGAGAAATGAGTTTAGCAGCAAATAACAGAATCCTAACAAAAACATCTCAAGTGATGAGGTATCTTTTCTTATAGAAATTTTTTTCAATTGGATCCTTTAGAGAGAAATTTTTTGGTGGATGTGTGGCTTTACCCTTAGAGATATGATACAAAATGAGCATATACGTGAAAAGTTTGGATTAGCTCCAGTTGAAGATAAGATTAGAGAGAGTCGCCTTAGATGGTTTGGTCACATAAAACGGCGGCCTTCCAATGACCCGGTTAGGAGAGTAGAGGTATTAGATTTGACTTATGTTAAGAAAGTTAGAGGCAGACCTAAAAAGACTTGGATAGAAAATATTAGGAGTGACCTTTCTTTATTAGATTTAAACGAGAATTTGACCTTTAATAGGACACATGGAGAAAAAAGATTCATGTAGCTGACGCCACGTAGTGGGATAAAGGCTTGATGTTGTTGTTGTTGTTGGATCCTTTAGAGAGAATTTATTTTTTTAATTTTAAAATGCATAGTAGATGCGTTACCAATAGAATCTCCACATATTTGGCCATTGTGTTCATGTCAAATACGATATATAGAGCAGCGGTTTGATAAAGAATATAAATTCTAAGCAGCAGGTCTAATGTGAGGCATATTGGAGATATGGAAAAACATTTGCAACAGGCTAGGTCGAAGCAAAAAGGAAGCAACCCAAGGCAAAATATTGCAAATGATGTTGAAGGTGAAATCATATTAAAACAAGAGATGAGGGCCACTTTCATTGTGATCATTACAAAAATTGCAGGCTGCCTGTACATTAATACTATGCCTAATCAGGTTATTTGTAGTTACTTTGGATGTGTTCCAAAGTGCTCCGAGTTTTTTAAATGGGTAGTTATGCTTGGAGAGAAAATTGGAATTAAATTATTATGATGTTACTTTGGATGTGATCAATGACATAAGTTATGAACAAATTCATACAAAGATGGAAGCTATGTGCAAAGTATTTTAGTGTTGGGAAACAAGGAAGTAAATTAAGTGTTGAAGACTAAGAATATTAAAATAAATATGCAGTAAATTAGGAAAGATAAAAGTGAAAAATGATTATGAAAGAGAGATGATTGGAGTAGCATCTATTTAAGATAAGCCTTTAAAAAATATGCTTAGCTTATTTGGGAATAAAGAGAGATGACAGGAGCAATAGAAAGATAACCAATATAAGGAGTAGATACAATTAATGTGTAAGGATTATGAAGTAAATGGGTAGAGTAAAGATGTCATTGCTAAAAATAATGCAACAAGACATGCAATACAGAGTTGCCAAATCTTCTATTCCTCAACATGAATTTAGTAGAGGAGGAGGATTAAAAAAGTTGGCATTTGGGTAGGAGTAAGAATGATCACAATGAGATGATATGTAGAATCTTACAAAAAAAATCAAATTTATCCGTGTTAAAGCCTTTGAATATGCTATAAATGCAATGAATAATCAATTTATTATATTTTAAGTTTCAGTTAAGAGTCTTCCCATTGAAAACCATAATTACATTTCTATGTTATTTAAGCTATATGACAAACAAAGTTGAATTCGATGAATGTTCTTTCATAAAATCATTTTAGAAATGCATAAATTCTTATATTTGGCAGTTTTAATGATGTTAAATAGGATGAATGGCTTTGATCTAATGGTTGATGGCTATCAATAAATGATTAAATTAAGTAGAATGAAGATTCTTTTCTTGAAGGGGACTAGTTCACACACATTTGAAAAATGTGCCCACTCTACTGCTTTGGTATGTAGTTGCCCATCCATCAATCATTAGTGAAATCCTATTATTTATTGAAAAAACTTTGATGACTATATAACTATTTATAGTATTTTCACTAGTTTATTATATATATCTTTATAACTTTAACAGATTACATATTAGACATATGGGAGTATTGGATTTAGTGTCACATCAGATAATTAAAAAGTGTTGGTTTTGAAATAATATATGGCTGGCTATCACTTATAGGATCAAGCTTTTGGGTTGAAAATGTGTTTGACCGTTGGTAATTTGGTGTATTAGGCCTAATTTTGGTCAACTTTATTTTACACTTTCTAAAAAGTGGTATTAGAGTCGATGATTTTATTGGGGATCAAGTGATTCATGGCTTGGGTGGGCTTTTGGTGCATGATACCTGATGATGTTGAAAAAAGGGCTTTTCTTTGATGTTGGAGTGGTGGACTATGTTGAAAGCTTTCATATGAGTGGGATATTATGAAGACATGTGACAATAATGGGTTTATTTTAACATCGAATAATTGAAAAAATATATTTTGTAGGTTTACCATGTGGATGCCAGATGAGTGGAGAATGAGTGTGTTAATTCATATTTTTAAGAATAAAGGTGATGCACAAGATTGTGCGAATTATAGATGAATTAAGGTAATTTGTCATACTTTAAAAATATGGGAGCGAATTATGGAGCATAGGTTGCGGCGTGATACTATTGTTTCTCAAAATCAATTTGGATTCATGCTGGGTAGGTCGATTATGGAAGCCATACATTTATTAAGAGGTTTGATGGAGAAATATAGAGAAAATAAGGAGGATCTACATATGATATTTATTGATTTAGAAAAAGCATATGATAAAGTTCCAAGAGAAGTGCTATGAAGAGTTCTTGATAAGAAAGGAGTTAATAACGCTTTATTCAAATCATTAAAGATATGTATGCAGGAGCTATTACTTGTGTTTAAACACAAGGCGGTTTGACCAAGTATTTCCCTATTTCGATTGGGTTACATCAAGGATCATACTTAATCCCATATCTTTTTGCTTTAGTCATGGATGTTCTCACTACATCTGCAAGAGGATGTGCCTTGGTGTGTGCTTTTTGCTGATGATATTCTTCTTGTTGATAAGACTAGAGAGGGAGTTGAAGGTAAACTTGAATTATGGAGGTCAACCTTAAAGTCTAAAGGTTTTGGCTTGAGTAGTTCTAAAACAGAATATATGGAGTTTAATTTTAGTAGTAATAGACCTAGTAAGGGGATTGTGACTTTGGGAGATCAAGTCATTAATAAGAGTACACGTTTTACATATATTGGATCTATTGTTCAGAGTGATGTTGAAATAGATGGGGATATTATCGTCAAAATTCAAGTTGGATGGTTGAAGTGGAGGAATGCATCGGGCTTGTTGTGTGATAGAAAAGTACCCCTCAAACTTAAGGGAAAATTCTATAAGATGGTGGTGAGGCCTGCAATGCTTTATGGTGCAGAATGTTGGCCATTAAAAGAGAAGCATAATACTAAATTAAGTGTGACAGAGATGAGGTTGCTCAGGTGGATGAGTGGCTTTACCCTTAGAGAGAGGATACAAAATGAGCATATATGTGAAAAGGTTGGAGTAGCTCCAGTAGAAGATAAGATTAGAGAGAGTCGCCTTAGATGGTTTGGTCACATAAAATGCCGGCCCTTCCAATGACCCGGTTAGGAGAGTAGAGGTATTAGATTTGACTTATGTTAAGAAAGTTAGAGGCAGACCTAAAAAGACTTGGTTATAAAATATTATGAATGATCTTTCTTTATTAGATTTAAACGAGAATTTGACTTTTAATAGGACACAATGGAGGAAAAGGATTCATGTAGCCGACCCCGCTTAGTGGGATAAAGGCTTGATGTTGTTGTTGTTGTTGTTTTACCATGTGGTTGCCTCTCATTCATAGGTTTAAGATTTTGGGTTATAAAGTAGTTCGACCATTGGTGTCTTAGGCTCAACTTTGGCCATATTTTGGTTCACACTCTCTAGTTTTACAAATTTCCTCTGAAATACTTATCAAATTAAGTTTTATGGAGTGTGATCACATGCCTTTCCAAATTACTATACACTATATGAATATCCCTTTAGAGTTCTTGTGAAAAAATATAAGAGAATTGTATTTGTGTCAATTGATTACAAGCAACCATGCAATTATATACATGCTGTACAAGGAGAAAACAAAGTCGAAATATACAAGGAAACCTATCTTGATCTAGGAATTAATTTAAGTAGTTGTTATAAGAAATCACTCATGTAACGAAAGGACTTAACGATTTTGATGGGGAATTACAATATCTGCATTCTTTTAATG